GGAATTGCACCCATCAGGTAATTTTTAATCCTGGATCATGTGTACCAAATAAAACACCACCATGTCACCCACAAAGCTAGGAGAAAATTTTGAATAATTATAGAAACTTTTTCAGCAGTTTCTTTTATTAGGTAATGTTTGAGAATCAAGCATTCTGCTTCCACAATCACAGATAAATTGCTTAGAAGTCAGTCATGGGGAGCCTCTCCACCCAAGCTTTTATTCCTGAATTTTCAGCACTTTCTCATACAGCACCACCTGCCTTGGATATTTCCTGAGACAAACCATAATGTTCCAAGGTTCTTCATGAAGCCATTGAAGAGGTTAAAGAAGGTACTGTTGGTTTTGGTTACAAGGTGAGATTAAGTTATTGAATTGTTCATTAGTCAAGCACAGAAAAATTGAAATTTTTCCTGTGGTATAGTGATGGTAATTGATGGTAACATTACTGTAGCTGCTTCATAAAGAAAAAATATTCATTTCAATAGTGATTACTCACCTCCTATTCTGCAAACATACTTCGTGATTGCTTGAGACTGTCCGAGCACTTTTCCATCTGGGGTCACGAGAAATGGTGCTTGACCAAGAGGGGGTCTGCCAGCTGACAAAAAGAAATAGAAAAATAAATAGAAAGATAGATGATAAATTAATACATAAGTTAATTAACAGATAAATGGATTATAGACAGTTACTTAGAGAGAGATATATTAAGGTAGATAAATAGATAATTACACATGGATTTGAATAAATTTATTATTAAATAGAAACAAAAAGAAATTACTAGAAAAGGGATGTCTTATCAAAGGAATGAGCGCATAAGCAATGAATTAACCATTAGTAAACTTGTTGATCACATTATGTTTGCTTACATGTAGACAAAGATATAATGGACACATGAATAAATATGACGTGCATTTAATTCCTCTTATTAACATATCCCAAAGGAGTCTTCGATACAAGTAAAAGCATTTGCCTGATAACCAGATAAAATCTAGTAGGTATAAACTATTATAAAATGTCAAAAACTGACATCCCGCAATACCGCCAAATTTCACGCACTTTTGGTTGGAACTTAAGGTGCAGTATCAGTTCATAACTACTAAAGCATTATCTTTAATATTCGTTTTCAATCATGTTAATTTATTTTTGGATCACGAAAATACCTACTATAGCATAGTCACGCAATCCTGCTGTATGATTTAAAATTATTCAGAAACCTAGCCAAACTTGAGGGTTTTCTCTTTCTTGGAATGAAATTGAAAAATAGAGAGAAAGATCACAGAAGCCAATCTTTCTGACTGCTTCGTTTCCTGAAAAACCCAAATCATCTCTATAGCCTTTGGTTCTGACGTTCAGTTCTGGAAACTAGTAACTTGCATCGTCATCGTTACGAATTAATTAGAGAATTAAGATAGGTCAGGTGGATGGACAGAATGTTAGATTGTAGTCATCCTCCCAACCTTTTTCGCGAAAATTTACTACCTAAGTACTTTTTTGGGGGCTCCAATTTCTTATCATTGCATACGTTCCCATGCACTGCATGATAATTCGTACTTAACTGAAATTGAGTTTTATTCGGCAAAGAACACACGGTAAATTGAAAGAATCGATTTTTGTGATGATAATGAGGATAGCATGCAGTTTTAGTCGCAATCTTTTTCCTTTCCTTTTTTTTTTAAGAGAACTATGTGTTTTAGCAATGAGAGACGATTTTTCATTCAATATGCAAGTCCTGAACCTTTATATGCAAACCAACTTTCTCGGTGAAAGGTTAGTTATTTCAGGATAACGTTTTGAACACAAGCGCTATGTTGTGATCTGCATTCAAGATTTTCTACTCACATTCTTTCTCCTTGACCCATTCTTCTCTGGTAAATCGGATGTCTTCGTATTCCATATTTGCAGCAACGAAGGAAAGCCGAACGATCTCAGCCCGACCTCGGAAATCAAAGTAGTAAAGTTTGTAGCCTGACATTGTTTCTTGTAGATGATTCTTCGGAGCGCTAGCGCAGTGTTTATATGTTGCCGATGGACGTCACGCAACTTCTCACGGTGACGTTTTAATTAGTTTTATTTTGACAAGTTGACAAGTATGTCATCGTGTATTTATTGATGCTAAATTGATTTCCCGAATTTTTTTCGTAAATGAAGTCAGCATTAGTTATGCAGTAGTTTCGTAGCTTTCAAGGCGATTTTTCTCGGCTGCTTTCGAAATATTGTAAGCTTAACATG